TGACGTTCGAGAAAGGAACATGTTCAGTTTTGTGCACTGCACCCATTAGAATAGAATTCAACGGCACAAAAGACATTAGATAATAGGTATCTATCAAAAACGACGTGTATCAAATGTCGTTTCTAGTCTCTAGTCCAAAAGCATTTTTCGAATAACCTGGTAAGCCATATCTCACACACACACACACACACACACACACACACACACACATATAAAATATGTATACGTATGTACATATGTAGGTATAAGATATAATGTAAAGACACACGTACAAGCTATTCAAGCAGTCCTGTGTCTAATCTTCTCCTTTTATTAAGTGAAAACAATATAATGTTCTCCTTCAGCACCACCGGTGCCGGTCCATCTATACTGTCGGGGTTCATGACTTTCTGAGAATCTAAGATCGAGAAAAAAATATCATATACATATAAACTTCATTGTCTTTACAGTTGGTCTAAGTAAAATACAATCTTGATCCACGATAGCATAATCCAAAACCAGCATGTGCACAGGTTATATACGACGAAACCATACTACAGTTAAAACTCCAATAGGTCCAAAAAAACGGCTCATCTGCTATGCAGCTATCGATATAGGGTTCAGCTAATAAAACAAAACGCAGATTGTAGAAAACCAACTTGTTCGAATTCAAGTCCTCTCCAAATCCATATATATGTGTGTGTCTATATATACATGTGTGTGTGTGTGTGTGTGTATATATATTATATCGAGTTGGGTTTTCATAATAATTAATATGTATATAGTGTCCACTCAACAATTGCTTCGTATCTTATCAAACTCATATAAACCACAAACCTTTTATCACTTAAAAGATCACTGAGTTTTAGCTCGAAAGATGACAAAAAACAAAGGTAGATCTGTATATATCAATATCATTATATCTATATCTATATACCTAGCTAAGAGCCCCACGCTCATAGAGATATACATGATTGGTATATATGTATCAGCTTTATTTTTATACTTGTATATATATGTTTGTGCTTAGGAAAACAAAATCACCGAAAGATGCAGATTCAGATTCCGCTTGCAAAATAATTATTTTCAGCCAGAATATGACCTTTGTTTTGTTCAAAGGTCCCCCTTTTAAAAAAGTGGTAATTCCTTGATCATGATAAAATTTTGTGGACTATGAACCAAGCTGAAATGTTAATCTTATTAGACCTTTAAAAAGATATATTCATGGAGATGAAATCATAACAAAATCAACTGTGCCACAGTAAAAACAAAAGGAATCAATTTCGAGCACTACTTTTACATATGGAGTAGATCTGAGGTGATAAGGATTCGAAATATCAGTGAGATTGTGTACTACAAGGACCACTAATAGTACAGATTCCCCCTTATATGTATGCACTTTTCAAAAAGTCTCTTTCATCCAATCATGTCAAAATGATCTCCAAATTAGCCTTGCCTCATTTCTACTCCTTGGGAAACAAGCTAAACAAGAGTAATTAAAGAGTTTTAATCATGTAAACAACACTTCTAGTGAAGAGCTGCAGGTGTTAATAATTAGACGTCTTAATTCTTTTGAAGGAAAAAATAAATAAAGAAATAAGAACACCCAAAATTTATAATGACTCACTATTAATGAAAGAGCTACGTCTACTTTTTAACCACTAAAAGAATTGACTATTATGAAGAAGATAATTATAAGAGAAATAGCATAACTTTAAGACTCATCAGGTTTTTGTCGAACCACTCTTTTGCACCCCATAGAGTGTGGTAGTCTAGCGGTAATGGAATACCATGGTGGAACTGTTGGGTTACCCTTGGGTGTATTAAGTATGAAGGCTTGTTTCTTAGAAGCCTAGTACTCAATTAGAGTGTCTGCGACCACATCTCCACATACCCTTACTGTTAGTATATTTGGTCGGATTGGAGTAACTCACACCTTGTCCAGGAGAGTAGGGTCTATATGTAGGGCTTTTAACGAACATTCCAGTCAACATTTATAAGGGCCCTATTGGGGACGCCCACTCTCTCTTTGGACTTTTATATTAGCAAAAAAAAAAAAAAAACCACTGTTTTGCTCTTTAAAATGGCAAACCCCTCACTGTAGAGAAAATTAGGGTAGCCGAATTCACAAGTGTGAAAACTCCAAGGCTAGTTTGATCAGGACAAAAAGAAACAATAATATGATCTCATCATATGTCAGATATGGAAACAGCTTTAACAAGATTTTTGATAGCATCTAAATCTCCTCAATATGAATACTAAATCTTGTGCAGAAGCTAATCTGGTAAGAACTAAAGCAAGTATTCCAGGTTAAGGAGGGATATAGTTTAAAAACCAATGGTCAGCTTACTGAAAGTTAAAATTCAGTTTAGTGGGCTTTTTTTAAAAAAAAAAAAATATGGTTCCTTTTACACCAGAAAGCATCATATTTCTGGATTCTTGCTGCAGGGAAACAATAATTTGAAAACAATTAATGCAATTGGAAAAAGGGTCATCAGTGTCTCTAAGCAACTTGCTAGGTTGGAAAGGGAAATCCTAAGTATCTGCCAATGAGATATTATCTCAAGTTGAGAATATACCCGAAATGTTTAAGGCAGAAATATTTATAACTTTTTAGCAATAAATTGAGACCATCTATTGGCTCGAATAACAGCAAGTGGAAGAATCAAGAACCGTGATGTTTGCAATGATAAAGTGTAAAAAAAGATTAAATGAAAGGGAAAATAAAAGAGGAGATTAAAAAAAAAGCCACTAGACGATAAAGAATCCATCATCAAGAAGATCATCCAAGATTTGGTACTGGTTCAGTTGAGTACAAACCGACCAACAAATTAGTCCGCAAAAACCATATTGAATGTCAAACTAGCTACCAAATGAATATACAGGAAATACCGTTAAAATGTAAAAAAGCAAAGCACAAATTTGATTCTTTCCAAGACCTAAGAGGAATATATAATGATAGGTTGGTCCCTGCCTAGCTCCACGAGTATTCCTCAATCCTCATCAATAAATTCAGCAAAGCTAAAAAGTGAACTTGCAGAAACTTGACCTTCTAAACTCCTAATCACCTGAAACGCTAGTAATAATAATAGAGAAAAATAATAATTAAAGTTAAATTTGTTTAAGTTATGGAGCCTAATTATGCTCTAACGATTTATTAACTTACGCAGAAGAATTTGTGTGTAGAGAGAGGTCATAAAAAAAAAAAAACACAAAGAATAGTGAGGTTTACGGTTTTCTCTTATAAACTTCTTTCTTATGATAAACTTACTATAACAATTGAAAAAGAATGTAGTCTCACATTGAGATGATCCTCTGTAAATTTGTATTCTCAGTTTTTTGCATGATTTTTTTACTGCAATTTTGTTGCTCTCCGTAATTTAAAATTAGGGCGTCAGATTCTTAACAACACTTGGATCAAGTGTCCAAAGGGTTATCTACTCTCTTCATATATTATGTGAAAAAGACATTATTTGTTTCACAAGGAAAATTTTCATGCTAATTGCACCTAAAAAAAGTCCTATCTACTGCTATTGCAAAATCCTTGTCAGTACTTGATGATTAACAAAGAAAGTGTCCAAAAGGGTCATAATTTTTGCATAGTGTAAAAACAAAAATGACACGTTAATATTAATTCAACATTTTGCATGAACTTTAGAATAGTCCTCATATTTAAAAGTTTTCTATAGTCTATACTGATGTTGCAAAATCTTGGTCAAATTTTTCGGTTGTTAGTACTTGATCTATTGCAAACAAAATGAATGTCAAAATCAACATTTAGACATTGATAAGGTGAGTACGGCTGTGTCCCCCACACAAAGGTGAAAAAGAATCAGTGATAAGGAGGTCAGACCATATACCTCCCCTTATTCCAAAAGGTCTATTCCGTATTATGACTAAGGTTATAAAAGCATCTTTGAAACGTTTCTATCTCCGTCCACGTTTCAACTATTAAGTAATTACCTTAAGGAAAGGAAATGAAAAGACAAGTAATCTAAAACCTTATAATAAGACTATTAGGAAAATAAAAAAGACCCAACAAACAACATCAATCAAACTATTAATGTTAGACACAGAAAAGAAAGAACATTTGGCTTTAGTGGTTACAATGATTTAGCTATGATTACTCCATTAAGAAGAGACCTTGTTTACCATGTTAGGTCTATAAAATTGGTCAATCAATAGGTTTCATTACATAAATACTGAAGAGCTAGCTCTGTTGTAACGAAATAAGTGGAAGTTGATTTGTCTGATTCTTGAAATTATGAGCTACCATAAACCTTGATCACAAAGGTGAGCAAAAGAATCATCTGTTATAGTTGATGGGACAGAATTAATCAGAACATATTCTTATATCATATCAATTCCTGATATGAAATTGAGAGTCCATAAGATTTTATTAGACAAATGTTCCTCTCGCTGCCACACAAAAGTACCCATTTTTTCAGGAAAAGAAAATTGTACAAATAATTCTCATATTTTTGCCATCATTAGAAGACAAGAGAGTACAAACCTGCTCATCCAGCTATTAGCATGGTACATGATATTTTCTTTTGTCCACTGAATAGTAACTAATAAAGGAAGTCCCAACTTACTACTTATTTAAAACCAAAGAATATTTCATGGTTAAAATAGTAAAATGACCACCCTTTTTTTTTCTCTCCTTTTCCCTTGATTCTCTTCTCTCTTTCTTTCTTTCATTTGCAGTATTTTCTTTGTCCTTCTCTCTTGTGGTTCCTAAGGAGACGGGTCACTTATATTCTGCCCTTTTTGAAGATATATTCGATTGCCCAACTGGCTTATAACCCCACCACCACCCTTTTCCTTCTGCTTATAAGGAGCTCATCTGGTCATTCTCTTTCCCATGCCATCCCTTGACATTGTAATTGAGTCAATACTCAAAATCTTTCTTTCTCTTGACTTAAACCAACCAAAAGAAAAAAAAAAAAAAAAAAAAAAAAAAAAACAAAAATTTTTTTTTTTTCCAAAAAAAAAAAAAAAAAAAAAAAAAAAAAAAAAAAAAAAACCATAATTTCTTTTCTTTCTTTTCTGCACTCATTTCTTCTGACAAATATATCTTCCATATATTGTCAGTTTATCACACCTTATAAGTAGCTTCACACTCATTGTAATTTAGGTATTCTATATTGCATAAATGGCATCAAACTCTCTCACCTCTTCACGTGGCTCTAGCTCATGGACTCCTACGCAAAACAAGCAATTCGAAAGGGCGCTGGCCTTGTACGACAAGGATACGCCGGACCGGTGGCAGAAAGTTGCGAGAGCCGTGGGCGGAAAATCGGCGGAAGAAGTTAAGAGGCACTATGAGATCCTTGAGGAGGATATCAGGCACATTGAATCCGGCAAAGTCCCATTTCCCATCTACAGGTCAGCTGGGAAAAGCAGCTAATTAAAGTAAGCACATGTTAGTTCCTGAGGTAATGCTTTTCTCTTTTCCTTTCTTTTTTATGGTTACTTTTTCCACCTCGTACTAGATTGAAAATCAAACCATGTTTCTCATGTGTTACTAAAAATTCATAGACATCCTTTGTTAAGAAGAAAGCAATACTTATAGCTAGCTTAATATATACTGCAATAATGTGCTATTTTTTTCCAAGACTTTGGTTAACACGTTGTATTAAATTGTATATCTAATAGTGTATTATATTATTAGTGTACTCGGGCCCTAGAAAATTCCAAGCAAGTGAAGATTAATTAAGAACTTTGAAGGGACTACTTTTTGTGTGGTCCATTGGTTTCTCTTTCTGATCATTAGGCCAACATCCTATTCACCAAACCACTTCTTTGTCATGTATATTTAATGCAAAAGGTGATGCATGACCACACTATGTTCACCTCCTTATCCTGTTCCTTAGCGGAAGAAAGCCCACATGAGATCTAACCCTACCCCTTTTGGATAACAAGTTCATGCTCCTTTCCTAACAAGTTCAAAACAAATTGCAATATTGTGAAATACCCCCCAAAAAAAAAAAAAAATTAGCCTTCTTTTTAAGTTCTCAGAAAAGGGTTTTTTAACAATTCCCCAGCTGAATATTTTATTACTTCTTTCATTCTCAACCAGCTTTTTATCTAATTATATCGCTTTGTCTTTAGTCAGGTTAATTTTCTAGTTAGTTAGTTCTTTTCCAACTGAAAAACTTTTAGCTGCATTAGTACTAATAAAATCCTTCACGTGAATGTCTACGTCCAATTATATGTTGACGTAATAGATATTCATGTTGAAGTTTTTTTTTTTTTTTTTTTTGGGTTGATTTCTGCTGAAATTTTAAAACTAATTTTCCTCATTTATTTAATTTTCTTTTGCCTTGCAGGTTCTTGAACTAATATATGCATGGTTTCATGGCAATGAAGTTGAAGCTGTAAAAAAAAAAAAAAAGTACGTGTAGAGAAGTGTGTGAAGAAATTAGTTGCTCATGACTCTACTGTGATTCTCATGCTACTATGTATTCTCTCTCTTTTATTCTCCCTACATCCGTACGTACGTATCTTGATGTTGTTGTCTGGTTCTTCTGTGTAACAAAATCAATGTTGTTATTGCAATGTATGAAATGTTAAATACTATTCTACTATATTATTATCATGTCCAAAAAGCTGATTATGACTGTTCACAAAATATAAGAACACCATGTCGGATATCCCTTTCCATACATCGATAGGTTGGTTTCCGCCTTTATTCTAGAGTCAAAATTAATATCAACGATTGATTATACTTCAATTGGCTACTAATCATTAAAAAGAAAAATGATAAACATAGACCAAACAATTTAATTATAATTACTAAGTCATAACTTTCATAAATAATGAATCGAGACTCAAATAGCAAAAGTATTCAACGTAGTTTTTTTTCCCTCAAAAGTATTCAACGTTGCTTGAATATCCTTGATTAAGCCGTTCCAAAGACCAGCGGTAATTTTTTTTTTTTTCCTGGACCATCTTGACAATATTTTTAGTGTAAAATCTGTAAATGTTACATCCTATACTTTATGGAAACAACTTGTCGTTTGTTAATCATAAAAAATAAACCCTTTATATATGTGCTTTCCATATAGAAGATGTATTAATTCTTTCTTCTTTGTCGAAGTTGTGTTTTCTTTTGCAGATTGCAATATCTTATCTTATACATAGATAAATAATAATAATAATAATAATAATAATAATGATGATGATGATGATGATAATAATGATAATAATAATAATAATAATAATAATAATAATAATAATAATAATAATATGCCTCAAGATTGGTCTAATTAATGCTAGCATAAAAATACCATAGCTTACGGAGAACCAACTCCAACACTTGGTGAAAAGCGGACAGGAGGCATTGATGGAAGCTGTAGGGCCGTTACTGTTTCAACCGTTGATCAACAAACATTTCAAACGACAACAAGTAGAAACGACAAGAAATGAAGAAGACGACAACATGTTAAAGAAATGACAGCTTCATAAAACTGACAAGAAATGGTAAAACAAAGGAGTGACCACAAGAAGAGTCTTAGAACGATGGTACATAAAAAGACAAAACTTGCGAAACGACAATAAGGGTAATGAAACGGTTCTTACAAAGTCAGACACAAACGTCAGCAAAATGAAAACGACAATGAACCTAACAAATCATAACAAAATGAAAACGAAATAGCCTAACAACAATCACAAAAATAGCAAATGAGAAAAACCCAAATATATATGTATAGAGAAAAAAACAAAAAAAAAAGACTTAAAAAACAAAAACAAAAACGAAAGGAAAAAAACAATAGAACAACGATAAGAGCATCTAGAAGGAAACTCCTTAGCTAAATTTTAGCTAAAATAGTTAAAAAGTTATTTTAATTAACAACTGTTGGATGAGTCATTAAAACCCTACTCTCTAATTTAACTGAACATAAATTATTTTACTAATTGTTAAATTTAAGATATAAATAACTTTACTGTATTTAAAAAATAAACCTTACATTTATTACTACTGTTTGAAATAACAAAATGATAGAAAAATTAAATGAATAGCCCTTCTTATTAGTTATGTTTGGCTAGTAAAAAATGCATTTTTTTTTAAAATAACTAATCATTTAACTAATTATTAGAGTAAAAAAAAAGTAAAAAAAAGGTTAAATTATTAGTCATTTTGGCTAACCACATAAGATGGCTATTAGAGATACTATTACTAATATTGGAACAACAAACAATGACGACAAATGAGAAACAACAGTAACATGAAAAAATGACATAGATGACGGCCACAAATTTAATAAAGGAAGACAACTACGGTTATTATCATCGGTGCTTTGGGGGTATTTCTTAGTTTGTCGTCTAAATTTTAAAAACTCTTATTTTGATTTTAAATTTTAAATTAGTCCCATTTATATCCTTTTGTCAGAATTTCTATTAAAATCAAATAGGAAAAAGGGATTAAGCGTGGTCACGTAAATTTTATCTGTTTGTTTTTAATATACATTTAAACAGAAAAATTATATGATTGCAATACTCTATTTCTTTCTATCTATTTTTAATAAAAATTCCAACGGAATGGGTTAAGTGGAAAGAATTTAAAATTTAAAGGGTAAAGTAGGAGTTTTCAAAGTTTGGATGACAAGTTGAAAATAACCTTAAAATTCAGAGATACCGATAATAATAATCCAATACAATAGGTAATAAAAAAAATTAAAAAAAAAAGAAATAAAGAACCAGAATTTTTAGAACATACGAAAGAAGATAACAAAAATTGAAAAACGACAACGTGGTGGGAAACAAGTCCAACAAATTTAAAACAGAGAGAGTAATATGAAAACGACAACAAGTTTTACTAAATGCACATAAAACGGCAATATAGTAAAGGAGTGAACTACACCAAAATTAAGAGCGCCTTCTGAACTCATTCCAAAATATATTTTTTTTGGTATGAAAATAGAAATGAAAACATTTTCAATATCAAGCAAAAATTATTTTTAAAAATGTGTTTAGTAGTTTTATTAAGAGATTATTTTCAGTATAAGAAAAAATTAAAACTCCGTTTGGTTATACATTTTTGAAAATATATAATAGTATTTTAAATAATATATTAAATAAGAAAATGAAAATATTTCTTTCATGTAAAGAAATAACCCATTAATAGAATAATTATGCATATATATATATATATATATATGTATATATCTCTCTCCGTTCGAGAGAGTATCAAATGAAAATAAGAAATAAAAAATGATTAATTTTTTATTTCTCTCTCATTTTATATGAAATTAAAAAATTATTTTTATTTTTATTTTTTATCTTTGATTGCTTCAAACGCTATCTTCTCATTATTTTAATTTCTCTTTCTCAAAAAACGTAAAAAAAATTTTTAAAATCAATTCTAAACACGCTCTAAAATTTCATCCAAAAAGAACAAAATTAAAGGAAAGTTCATAAAAAAGAATTACGAAACATAGTGGAAAACAACAAAAATAAACATAAAAGATGGCAGTAAAATGAAAAATCAATCAAAATTTGAGAAATCAACCGAATAGAGAGAGCACAGACAAGACAAAAAAATTTCAGTTTACTTTAGTGAATTGCAAAGATTTTTTTTTTTAGAAAAAAAAAAAATAAAGCACGTATTTTCCTAAATCTATACACACATACGTACATAAAATAGCGAAACCACTTTTCTCTTCACTTTCACATGGTGTCAGGTTTTTCTTTGTTCTTTTTCCTCTCTTTTCTTTTGCCTTTTTTTTTTTTTTTTTTTACTTTCCTTCTATACCCTTTATTTTTTAGGAATGACAATGTTCCGGGGACGGAGTCCGGCTCTAAACGGAGACAAAGATGGAGGACAATTATCGGAGATAAAATGGAGATGGAGATAAAATCTAATCCTCAATTCCTGATGAGATGTGGATGAAGGAAGTACTTCTTTACACCGTCTCTGCTTTATATTAATGTGTAACTATTTAATAAAAATTAAAGTTATTAACAATAAATAAGGAAAAATAATTTACGTTTATATTTGGATGTTTTTAAACTTTTTGCTCATATATTAGTTATTACTTTTAAATTCAATTTGCAATACGTTAAGAATTAAGTTTTTTGTTGAAATCTTTGATTTTACTCTAAATTTATAATGAATTTCTACTCTAGTTTTATTTTAAATTACAATAATTTTGAAATGTATAATCTTATATGATTGAGAGTGGAGCAGGTATGGAAAAAGCTCCTTCAATGGAAAATTCTCGACTCTGACTCGCCCCTCCTTAAGCGCATAAAACATTAAATTACAATAATTTTGAAATGTATAATCTTATATGATTGAGAGTGGAACAGGTATGGAAAAAGCTCCTTCAATGGAAAATTCTCGACTCTGACTCGCCCCTCCTTAAGCGCATAAAACGGGGATGAGAATAGTTTAGAGTAGCGGGAATGGAGATGAGAAATCATCCTCCGCTCCCACCCCGTCCCATTGCATTTTTTTTTTCCATTTTCTTCACTTTTTTTATTTTTTTCCTTTCTCAATTTATTTTTCTGTTCCTTTTTTTTTTCCTTTTAGCAAGGAACTCTTCTACAGTTTATTTACTATAATGTACTCATTTAAGTCATTTTTTTCTCTTACTTTGCCCCGACTAAAATAATTTAGTTACTACAATTTCTTTATCTAATTTAATTCAATTTGTCTAATTTAATATAATCTAATCTCCAAGTCCTCTTTATTATTCACTTCTAAATAGGCTTCCCCAATTGCCATGTGACAACCTTTTTTATTATTATTCTTTTAGTCTTGTTTTTTTACTTTCTTTTTTTAATTAAAATAATTCCTTTTCCAAATATGATGATGCTTATTTTATTTTATTTTATTTTTTCCAAAAACTGCCATATAAGTTTAGTTCTTTTTTTTTCTTTTTTTTAACTTTTTCTCTTTCTATCTTTTCTTTTCTTTTTTAATTTCTTCTTCTTCTTTCTTTGTCCATTGTCTTTTCAATTTTTTCTCTTAATATTTTTAACATTTTATTTTTCTTACAATATCCTCATTCAAATACTTCTTTTCATTAATTAAAATAATTGCTTTTAAATATGTTCCAAATTTTTTTCTTGTCGAAACTCCTATATAACTTTAATTCTTTTTATGAGATTTTTTAAATATCCTGTTTTTTTCTTGTTCTCATTTATGGACTTCACTTTTAAGGAGACTACGCCTAATTGAGATAGACATGAATCGGAATGTGCAGGATTCGGAGTGGGTAGAATTCAGAGTGATGAATTAAAGTCAAAATAAGTTGTTGACTCAATGATAAGATTCGAAATCAAAGTTATTTCAAATTTCATTCATGCGTTTACTTACATACAAAATTAAATTAAACCGGTGTAAAAGTACTAATATACCCTTTAAGTAAATTTTGTATTTTTAACTTAAGAATAAATTGTGTACTTATTATATTAAAATTAATTTTAATGAAAATATTTAAGACAATTATAGGACAGTAAAATAATAAATATAAATTGCATAATTATGTATAATATAAAAATAAATTTTCAAATTTTGAATAAAATAAATAAAAATAGAGTTCCAAAAGTTAAAGTACATTATTATTTTAATAAAAAATTAAGTACATATTTATTAAATAAAAGTTAATAATAGTTACGCTAATATTATAATATTAGGTAAATAAAATATAAACATAGGTAGTAATTATTATTTTTTGAATTTAATTTTGAATTTTATATTTATAAATAAATTAGGGACGAGATAATAAATTAATATCATGAATGGGACAATAATGCGGAGGGAGTATAGGATTGTCAATCTGATTCTTTAGACCATCTCTAATGCAAATGTTAATGTTAATTGTATATTTACCATTAAAAAGTGTGATATGATATGTTATTTTCATTTTTTACTCCAATGCATAATGTTATTTGAAATGTTAAATTTACTTTTTTCCATAATTATTAAGCTTTGAAACTTTTATGTTTAAAATAATTAGAAAATACAAAAGTTGTAATGATTACATGAAAAAACAAACATTTCAACCAATAACAATCAAATGTCAAATTTTTCATATGTTATACTTAGCGGGAAACTTGCTACAAAGTATATCATATGAGAAATTTGGCACAACAAATAGCATTACATTGGAGAGTATTTTTTTACACTCAAATGCTAAATTTGTAATTGACATTTTAATTATAGCATTGCACTAGAGATGCTCTTAATTTTAAATTTAAGTGGGGACCACCAATCTCACTCATATTTTAGGATAAAAAAGGAGTGAGTAAACATATGTTTGATTCCCATTTTCTACTCACATTCCCCAATCCTAATAAGTAACATACTATATGTGTTTTGATACAAGACCAAACTTACAATGTTGTTCCATGTGGCTCAACTAATAATAATAATAACAAGAAAATAGAGATTTCAACACAAATGCTTTTCAAAGGATTTTTTAAATAATGGCCAAAATTTTGTAAAATTACAAAAATAGTTGTTTTTATTAATTTATTAGCCAAACACTAATTGACTTAGCAGTCTATCATAGATTAATTTTAATTTATCACTGATTAACTTAATAATTCATTATTATTAATTAATATCAATTAATAATTAACCAAAATTAATTAATAATTAATTAATTTTAATTAATAAATTATATGTTTATTAATGATAAATTATTAATAAATCATTAGTATTATTGATTGACAGTAGGTCAATAATTAATTGACTCTTTAAGAAAATGATCATTTTTATAAAATAAAAAAATGGTCATTTTTATAAAATAAAATGTCGATCTTTAAAAAATGTGGGTAAAAAAAACAAGGTTATTTAGAACACATTTAGTTCATTAATTTGAGCATTTTTATAAAATAAAATGTCGATCTTTAAAAAATGTGGGTAAAAAAAATAAGGTTATTTAGAACACATTTAGTTCATTAATTTAAATTTTTAATTCGAATTGAGATGTAATTTTATGTAATAATTTTTTACTGTAACAAAAAAATTAAATTAACTACTTTTAAAATTTTTTTATTATAATAAAAATTAAATTTTAAACTCAAATTAGTAAAATAAACCCACTTTAACTAATTTTTGCCGAGAAAATATTTGTAGAGAGCTTGCTCCGCAGGCAATCCCGACCGTCTTTCACCGTCCTTTTCTTTTCTTTCTATATTTTCATATTAAAAAGAAAAAAGAAAAAAAACCTTTAAACACTGCGAATTAGGGTTTATCGTCTATGTTCGCACCAGGCGTTAAAGCTTAAGCTTAAACACCTCCAAAACACCGAAACCATGAACCATTTGCCAATCTTCTGTTAGAACCAATCAAAGCTCGAAGCTTTCACCAATGGCGGCCTCAAAATTTTCCTCGTGCATGGCCATGGCGGTGGCGTTACTATCATCTACATCTGTCGGAACTCACGCCGACTCTTCCTTTCGCTTCCCTTATTTCTCTTCATCTCCGTCCTCTTCTTCTTCTCATTCAAACCCTTCTTTGTCTGATCAAACCGGCAATGCGAAATCGGGCTCTGAAGCATCGGCGGCCGAAGAGCCGAGAGGGTCCGGGTTCGACCCTGAGTCGTTGGAGAGAGGCGCCAAAGCTCTTCGCGAAATAAATAGCTCTCCCTACGCTAAACAGGTTTATAATTTTATCATTTCTATTCTTATTCGATACATTTTGCTTTTCCGACGAAATTTGTGAAAGTAGCAGAAAATTGAGATTTTCTTATTTTATTTTTATTTTTTTTACTGAGGAGGAATTGAAATGTCGGGAGAAATGCACAGACCAATTTATTTAGTATCAAATTTTGGCTCTTCTGCTTCCAATATTATTTTCAATTATGTAGAAAAATTATACATTGTCATTCTTACATAAATTCAATGAATAAGCCTAACCACAGTGTAATGATTTGGCTTAATTTAGTTGGAGAACTACAATTCCGAATTTCCAAGGAAAGTAACATTTGCATGAATTTAGAACCTTTTCTTTAGCTTTTCATTGAAACTGAACAGAGAGCAGAGATGTTGATTTGAGATTAGAGTTGTTTAAATTGGTCATGTGGGTTTGTGTTATCTTTCAGGTCTTTGATCTCATGAGAAAGCAGGAAAAGATCCGCCTTGCTGAGGTGGCCGCTGAGAAGGCGCATTACGAAGTAATTCAAGCTCAAAAGGACATTGTGGGTTACCATCTGTCACATAACTTTTAGGACTTCTTATGTTCTATCTATTTTCTGGTTGAAATTCATACTTGTGTTCCTTTGATTTAATTGTATCTTTGTTCATGAGCACTTTATACCTCTGGCAATTTGATTATAATTTCATCTAAATTTAGTCTTTCAATATAAGATTGTTTCTTCCCTTTTGTTTTCTGTCTCTCCAATGTGCCTCAACTTGTGCCGTGTATTCATCCTTTTGGCAGGAAAGTCAAAGGCAAATGGCCGAAGAACAAATGAAAATAGTGCAGCAACAAGCACAGGCAAAAGCACAGCATTTGCGATATCAAGATGAGTTAGCTAGAAAGAGAATGCAGGTGCATAATGAAATTAATTGTATTTTCTTAAGTCAATAACTGGAACTTTAAACTCAAGAAGTTGCACATACCTTAATTCATTTAGATGTCCACTGGTTATTAATAAATGAAACGGTTAAATTTATTGGCTTGTTTGCAGACAGATCATGAAGCCCAGAGGCGACATAATGTTGAATTGGTTAAGATGCAAGAGGAGTCCTCCGTACGTAAAGAACATGCACGGAGAGCGACTGAGGAACAAATTCAAGCTCAACAGAGAGAGACAGAAAAAGAGAGAGCTGAAATTGAGCGGGAAACCATAAGAGTTAAGGCTATGGCAGAGGCTGAAGGTCGGGTCCATGAAGCAAAATTAACTGAGGACCATAACAGGAGAATGCTTATCGAACGGATGAGTGGTGAAAAAGAAAAATGGCTTGCTGCAATAAATACAACTTTTAGTCATATAGAAGGTATACAGAACTGATCAGACGTGTTAGAAATGATGAGTGCTCATTATCCTCAATGTTCCAATGTTCATGGAAAAGAATTTCCGGTTGATATGATCTTAGTATTTTTGTTCAAATTAATCAATATCTCAGATGTAACTCTTTCTATACTATAATTTGCAGGTGGCTTTAGAACTTTACTGACTGATCGGAATAAGTTACTTATGACTGTTGGAGGAGCTACAGCATTGGCTGCTGGTGTTTATACGACAAGGTTCATAAGCTGTTCTTTTATGTGCTTTCAACTAAATCCCCTATTTTCTTTAATAGAAATATAGTATTGTGTTGGTCCATTAATAGAAATATAGTATTGTGTTGGTCCATTAATAGAAATATAGTATTGTGTTGGTCCTTTTCGTGGATGGTGCATCATTTATTAAAATCCTTCCCATGATGCCAACTTAATTAGAGTTTACATGGGTTTTACGTGCATCATTGTGTTGTTGAGATGGTACGATATCTAAGTGCCTTCTGATGTTCCTCACTGTTTTTGCAGAGAAGGTTCTAGAGTTATATGGGGTTATGTTAATCGAATTCTAGGACAGCCTTCATTGATTCGAGAATCATCCATGTCAAGATTTTCGGGGTCAGAGCTAATATCTCAAGCCAAGAATAAAGTCTTGAATTATAGTACAGCAGCAGCAACAGCTGGCACTTTTGAAAATAAGAAGGGTCTTGGAAACATTGTTCTCCATCCTTCATTGCAGAGGAGAATAGAGCACCTTGCTCGAGCTACAGCAAACACCAAGGCTCACCAGGCACCCTTTCGGAATATGCTTTTTTATGGGCCCCCAGGGACTGGAAAAACTATGGTTGCAAGAGAAATTGCTCGAAAATCGGTATTGTTTTATGTCATGGCTTCGTGATCTGATTACTGAAACCTATTTGTCTGTACCTTTTGAATTTCTAGCTTCATGTAAGTGACAATTGCTAATTTTGATCCATTATGGTGTTCTTGTGCAGGGTCTGGATTATGCCATGATGACAGGAGGTGATGTTGCTCCGCTGGGCCCACAGGCTGTCACAAAAATCCATCAAATATTTGATTGGGCAAAAAACTCAAAGAAGGGTCTACTCCTTTTTATTGATGAAGCAGATGCTTTCCTTTGCGAGTAAGTGGTACTTGTCTTCTTCTTCCCCTTCTTTTTTTTTTTTTTTTTTTTTTTTTCCCTTCTTCCACAAGATAAATGGAACTATGCTAAGATAATTGTGAGGAAAAGCTTCTGCTTTATAATTCTTTATCTCTGTTGTGGCTCAATACATCCTGCATGGTCGTAGCAGTTTCTTTCCGTGGATCTTTATGTTGGTTCAGTAAGAGGTTCAATTCAAAGCAAGAACTCCCTCCCACCTTTATTTCTGTTTCCTTCCTTTTGATTCTGTTGTTTATGGTTCGGATAATTCTGTGTGATATATAATGAAATGGAAAAACAAAGGTCTCCAAATAATTAATATCTTTAAACTAGTGTTTGCTTAAAAGAATGATTTTGAGTTTTTCCTTGGAGTTTGGTATATTAATAGTAAGTAAACACGAGGGTTTTTTTTTTTTCCCATAACAGACGTAATAGTACACATATGAGTGAAGCTCAACGAAGTGCTCTAAATGCATTGCTATTCCGAACTGGAGATCAGTCTAGAGACATTGTTCTGGTCCTCGCTACAAACAGGCCTGGTGATCTTGACAGTGCCATCACCGACCGCATCGACGAGGTCATGGAATTCCCACTTCCTGGGGAAGAGGAACGTTTTAAACTGCTAAAGCTTTATTTGAACAAGTACATATTCGGTGAGGGTGGTGACGACTCATCTAAATGGGGGCACTTGTTCAAGAAAAAGCCACAGAACATAACCGTAAAGGATCTTTCTGATGACACGATCCGCGAGGCTGCCAAGAAAACAGAAGGCTTCTCTGGCCGTGAGATTGCTAAACTCGTGGCCGGTGTACAAGCAGCCGTGTATGGCCAACCGGACTGTGTTTTGGATTCCCAGTTGTTCAAGCAAATTGTGGATTATAAGGTTGCAGAGCATCACCAGAGAATTAAACTAGCAGCTGAAGGTGGTCAGCCAGTGTAGACGAGAAAAGATCTTGCCCGATTGATTCATTTTGCATATTTATGGTCTTATAGAAGCCGAAAAAGTGGAAAATTTTTGCTCTTAATTTACGTCTAGCAATTGATTTGATTTGGAAAATTTTGTCGTTTGAAGCATGTTGGTTTACAGAAAAAAGATCTCATCTTGAAAAGTCAAAGCATTCAGGTGAAGATGCATGGAGGATGTATCTTATAATTGTCTTCTTTTTCAAAAAGAATTTTTCGTTACCAAATAAAGTTTAGGTAATAGGTGAAGTCACATTTATTTTTACTTTATTGTTGGTTATATTCACAATTTGTATTGGAGGACTTGGAAGGAATTTTTATTTCTTAGGAGAGACAGAAGGCACAACTTTTAAGTTGAAGGAGGCTAGAGAAGATTGTTGATGTTTGTTACGAATCTATGTTTATGGTATTTACAGAATGATCCAAGGCAACTGAAAAACAAAAAAGTTGTATAAGCTAATTGATATTCTATTTTTGTTCCTTAAATTCTTAAATAACCTGTTTCTATAAATTGGTCGCAACTCAGATCAAAATTTCGACAGAGCTTTAAAATATTAGATTTTACATATAGAAAAAAGTAGTTTTTGTTTTTTCCTGAATGTGTGAGGATTAAAAGAATTAATTTATTTTCTTGAAAAAAATAGAACTAGTTTATTGTTGGAATTAGAGATGTAGAGGTGTAAGTTTGGGTCGTCCGACCTGGGCCGGTGGTTCAAAGGAAAATTTCAGGCTGGTCCGGTCTGGTTTTAAAAGATAGAAGGTTGGCCCATCTCGGTCCTAAACCTAAAAAGTTCAAGACCGGATCAAAATTTTATTAGGTATTTTAAAAAAAATGTTTAAAAATATGTTGTTCGGATTGGACCGCACTGTTCTAAATGTGATAGAGTCAGCACAGTTCTGCTTTAAGCTAAAAAAAATTTAGTGCTGGGTCAGATCCGGGTCAACATTGACTGGCCTCGGACTGATCCTTTTGACTCGGTCCAAACTTGTAGCTCGACGTTAGTCATTGAAGGTTATTTTCTAATCTTATGTAACACCAGGTTTATATATAGCCCTGCCCGAAAATTAGAAACTTGATTCTGTTTTCCAAATATTGAAAACATCATTTTAAAGCAAAATTCAACTAAAATCTCTAAGCACGTGGGAATATATATCTCTGATACTAATTTAGATCACTTATTAAAGTAATTGTATTTGTTTTTCAGTCTCCTTTTTTCTTATAGTTTCTTTTTTTTTTTTCACAACTGTATATCCCCTTTCAAAACAAAAGTGTACGCATTAATTTTTTTTTTTGGAAGAATTATGTAACATAATGTTTTTAAATAGGAATAATAGAGTATCCTAATAAAGTTATCTATCATATATGATGGTGATATGTGTACGCTATAATTTCTTTTTTTTTTTTAATTTCAAATCATAGAAATACACACTAATATTGACACAATGACCTTGTAACACGTATAAGTTCTACAAGTAAGCTTCTCGAATGTAATGTTATGATTAATTTACCAATTATAAATTTAACTAGAGATGTAAGAATGGACCGGCCTAGCCCGACCCATTCTCTATTGGACCACGTGGCCATGGGTGCGGCCGACACCGCCCACTATTTTGGTGGGCCGTGTCGGGCCTGCCCATGAAAGACCAAACCTCAACTCAACCTATCCCACGGGTCTATTTATTGTGGGCCAGGTTAGGCCGTATCATGGGACGTTATTAGGCCAGCCTATATGAGCCGATATATAAGCCAAGATGGACTGACCCATTTATTGGCCCATTATGGGTTTAGATTGGGCAGCCATCTTGACATGCATTTTGTCAATTTTTTTGTTATTTTTTTTAAATATTTGTTTTTAAATTTCTAAACAATTTAACAAATATAAAAATCTAAATAGTCAATAGATATATAAAAAGAATACTTTATTTATGTATGTCTCATTAAAAACTTTTTCAAAAAAAAAAGGAATAAAATCTGGATAAGGATCAAATAATATAGTCGTAATAATTGTACATAAAATATTTACAAGATTACTAAATAAAAATTAGACAAATAAAAACATATAAAAAAATGAATATTATTTATAATTACAACGTACTATTAGTGGCAGTATCATAAATATCTAAGATCACAGATTATAAACATGACTATATGTATTATATATAGCAAAGGTATATAGTAAATACTTTATAAAAAAAATACTATATGTATTATATACATATATTAAAAGTTGGGCAACAATGTGCCTTGGACGAGCGGCCTATTTTGGGCCTAAACGGGCAATCTAACCTGACTCATGAATTTTTACGGGTCGTGTCGTTCAGCCCATGAGTTGAGGTATGTTTGTCCCAACTGAATCCATCAATATTGATTAGTTAGGCTGTAGCTTAAACAATGTCATGCTCTGTCATGCCGGCCCAACATTATATCAGGATAAGCTTGAGTCAGCTCACGGGCCGCGACTTGTATCTCTAAATTTAACGTGTAAAAAATATTTTTTAATACAATACTATTTATTGTGATAAATTTATCATATATTGTATTTTGTGATAAATTTCTCATAAAATATAACATATAATAAATTTGACATTTAATTTTTATTAGTTGATACGGTTACTTTTTCATTTAATCATTACAGCTTTTATCTTTTTAAATTATTTAAAAATAAAAAATTTACTTTTACATTTTTTAAAACTTAAATTTCAAATAAACTTATAGAACAAAAATAAAAATAACATGTATTATACATTTTAATGTCAAATATATAATTATCGTTAATATTTACATCATAGGCGGTCTAATTAAGTTTTAATTGAACATATGAGCAGAGCAAATATGTATCTAGTTTCAATAATAGAAAACCAAAAAGGCACAAAAACAATCGAATTATATGGCTCTTTTAACAATTCTATGATCAATCGAGAATAATAATATATGAAAGACGGAACATTCATTATTAAGCAAACAATTCTCTTCAGATAAAAAAAAAAAAAAAAAAAAAAAAAAAAAAAAAAAAAAAAAAGCAGACAATTCTCTGATGTGAGACCAAAAATGTAGTAGCAAAAACTAGTTTGAATTTTTTTTCATTTTTTCCTTTTTCCTATCAGAATTTGATTAATAAATGTGTAATATACGCTTTAAAATTTTTCATCAAAATAACACTTTTTTCTACAAGTTTAAAAAAGATGGGGAAAAGGAAAGAAGAAAAGAAAAATTCTGGTGAGCCAACCATCCTTGGTAGTTTTGAGAAGCAAAAGCAAGGTAGGGGAAAAACACAAGACGCGTCTCAAAAGATCCCCAGGCTAACTGTGCAACACGTGGCGGCATTCAGTTCTTCGGCCCCCTTTGACGCTCTTATTAAACCGCCACGTTAGCCCCTGACCAGGCACGTAGCCGAAAAAAAAAAAAAAAAAAAAACGGTCTCTCCGATTTTCCACACCAAAGCAAACAAGACCCGGAAAACTACGTATATGTAGGATCTGCAAAGAGAGGATTGATCTCCATTCATCTCTGAACAATCGACAAGTCATGAAGCTTTTGTCTGATTATAATTTATTTTACGTTTTCTAGAGAGAGAGAGAGAGAGAGAGAGAGAGAGAGAGAGAGAGATGGCAAAGAGAAGTACTAGTGCAGCGTTAGTGGTGGTGGTGGTGATGTTATGGCTGGCTCTTTGTTTTGCTGAGGACAAGGCAGAGGATGGCACGTTGAAAGATATCAAGGAAAAATCTAAGTCCTGGGGAAATTGGGCTTCTGACAACTTCTCCGAGTAATTTCTTTTTCCTTTTTTTTTTTTTTTTTTAAAGTCATTACAAATTGACGAATTTATGTGCACTTATTACATTAACAGTAATAGCTAGACTTCATGAGTGTTCCATTAATTGGTACGTGTTTTTATATGTATTTTGCATTTGGTATTGTCTGATAGTATCCTTAATTTCCGCGTTAGTTGTATGGGATGAAAGATCTGGTGATCTCCAGTACTGCTGAGAAAGTGCTGTAATTTATAATTCACTTTCTTGTGTCTTTATTCTTTTTGAAAAAAAAAAAGGCATGTGTTTTACTCGGAGTATACATATATATATATTGAGCCAAATACACACACACACGTATATATATATATATATATAACTTATTTGAACATCAAACGAGTTATTTGGGTTTTTCATGAGGCATCCTTTTGGATCATGCTTTGTTCTGGTTGCTTCTGTTTGCTGTTTCTCGATTTGGTAGGCGTCTTCTTAATGGCTATGGCTTCTTTGTTCTTTTTTGCTGTGCTTTTATTTATTTATTTATTTTTGCAGCTGCGTTGAGTTGTTCTGGATATTCTTTTATTTTTTTTAATAAACTTTAAGCGAGGAGTAAGAAGATTGTTGTTTTATTTTATTTTATTTTTTATTTTTAGTGGTTAGGGATGTCCTATAGCTACCACCCCCATTATTTTCTCAAGAGTCAAGACTCAAGACACCTATATTGTACGGATAAAATACACGGTTGAGTACGCAAATTGATCACTTCTTTTATTTCCAAAAAAGATGAAATGAATGTTTTAATAAAATTGAATGGTTTTGATATGATAATAGATCGCTTGTGCTTTAGAAAATGTCACTTTTGCACTACATGACCAAGATACGAAGACCATCACTTTTGATGTTGTGATTTTCTTGAATATGCGTTTGGTTTAATTTGTATGCTCTCTCAACTTTCACCCATTTATACATATATAGTCATTGAATCTTCCTTCATATTCCCTCCCCTTATACTATATATAGTATATACCTAATTTCGCGTTTAAACAAGTACTAATATTGTTAACTAGACGGGGACTAAATATAGTAGTACTCATTACCTCACAATTAACTGATTATCAATGCTAATTTCAATCGGAAAAGAAAACAAAAAGTTTATTGCTGATCAATTTTGTTTTGTTATGCCAGAGGATTGGACCGATTTAGCCGGGAAAGTCATGAAGCGAAGAAACCTCGAGATGTGATAGAAACAGTGGGGGAAGCAGCCTCTACAGCAACTGAGATGATGAACTCCGCTGGATTCGGTAAGTAATATATTCACTGATTAACTCAATATTATCTTTATACTAACTTAAAGTGTGGGAGTTTACAATATGCCCTCTAAGAAACAAGTAGATCACGAGTAGTTTGCGCTTTGTGATTTGACTAATTTACTTTAGTAGGAACATCAAAGTATGCTTTCAGCAAGGCTGGCAAGGCATTGTCCGAAGCGAAGGAGTTTGGATCCTTCGGATTGGATAAGGCAAAAGATGCCTAGGATGAAGCTAAGAGGAGAATAAACTTGGCTAAGAAGGAGGCTTCAGACAACGACGACGATGAGGATGGCGACAATGATCCTAGAGGGAGGGATGGTACAGGAAGGAATGAATGTCGGAAGAGATCATGTTAATGAAACTCATGTGAGAAATGAATCCAAGGGTTATAAGGTGAAAGGAGAGACGGGAGATGGGAAAGATAAAGCGGAAGATAACTACAATGAAGCTAAAGAGATAGGGCGCTTTATCTTATTCTTTTCCGTCTGTTTGTTTTGATCAGTCATTCAAGCTCTAGCTAGCTGATAGCAGCATCATTGGAATGAAATCAAGATGGAAACGCAGGCAACCGGGAGAATCGGAGTAACATGAGAATGAATTCTACGAAGGTTGTAAGTAATAGAGATCTTTCTCCCGCGTCTATAACCAGTCATACTAGGTGGGCTCTCTCCCATCTTAGTGAAGTTACGAGGTTAGCAAGAAGCAGTGCCCTTCCATCCCTGTGTGTGGGATTAGAAATTCGTTAGTATCGGTGGGCCCCTTCACTTGAGCTAATTTTATCCCGCTTTACTGCAGAGGCAGCGATGTGACATACAAAATTTCATGATTTTTCCTTTGTTCTTGTTTTTTGTTTGTGCAGCGAAGATAAAGATACAAAGGTAGATTGGTTCGTTTTCATGCTTAGGTGTCTGTCGTTCTCGGTGTGCTCGATTCGGATTGAGAGGAAGGTAAGTCCTGATCTAATATATGAAATTTGAAGTAATATGAATTTCACTTCCACCCACTGTCACTCTCTCGCTCCCTTTATGTAGCTCGTTCCCTAAAGGACCAGCGACTATCGGTACAGTCCAAAACATCCCTCCCTCTATCGGTGGAGCTACTGCGTTCCTCCTAACCTCTCGTTCCTTTTATGTAACTCGTTCCTATCAGTTGAGCACTACATACCATAACAACAACTCATACGAGTGACTTCTTCCCCCCTCCTCATCTCTAAGTCCTAGCTCCTAGCCCCTAGCTGCTTCTAAGCCTCTAGCTCCGTAAGACCTTGTTCGTTTCTACTTGACTCTGAAAAAAAGAAGGCTTGGCTTACTCTTTCAACGAAGGATTTACTGAGCGAACTACTAAATCAACAAGATCAATCGTCTTTGCTTCCGGCATCCTTCCCCCGCCGCGGGAGAGGAAGAAAGTATAGGTAGGGATAACAAAGGAAGTAGACCCCGCTAAGGATAAGGAGGGTAGTCCTCATGTTGAAAACATTTGGATCTTGTAGTGAGTAACCAATTTTCTTATATCCCTTGTTTGTTTCTTTTCTTTAATACGAAAATTTATTATAGCGAGAACATTCTTGTAGCTTTTGTTTGCTTAATTTGATCTCTTCTCGTATGTCTTAACGTTAATATGAAAAGGAAGCTTTATATATATATTTTTTGTTGCATATTATTGTCCTTGTGGATATGAGTGACCCAGAGCTGTAGTTTTGTCAAATAATATTCTGGTCCTAGTAGAAATATGTATGAACTTTTTATGTTGCAAAATCCAAAACATACTGATACATATAAATGTACATAATATATAAATTAGTGTGTGCGCGTCTAATTTCAATGTGTATGTGTACGTGTATGGATATATGTTATAATTAATATAATGCAATTTTTGTTAGGGGTCCAATAGATATAGCTATATGTCTGTAGCTTCACTACATCTTTATGTTATATATGGATCCAAAAATGTGATTTCTTTGCATTCTTGTGGATGAGTTTTACTAGTACTAGTACTAAGACAAAATCGATCAGTAATGATCCACGTATATGAATATTGAGGCCAATTGATCCTTGTTGGATTCAACAAAAGAACAATAAGTTGATGCTTATTAGGAAACGTGGGTTAGCTTGTAATGTTATCAATAGGTTTCAGACTTGTAGTGGTCCTGCTGGAAAAAGCAGATTATTAATTTAGATACAGACGTTTCTTATAAACGCTAGTCCTTGTAATATTGGTCTCTAAAAAAGCATGGTTGTGGGTCATGTTGTCGTAATATAAGAAAGCCAAAATTATATTAGAATCATTAATTAGTATAACATATCTAGACTCTTAATGGCATTGCTTACTTTCCAATTTAAATATATTTATATATATATATATGTCTTGTATGAAGGTTTTCTTTTTTCAGAGGAATTGTATGAAGAGATTTTTGCCCGTTTGTCTGGCAGGTTTAAATCACAGTTCAAACTTTTTTGCACTAGTGTTTTCTCTTAAAAAAAAAAAAAAAAAACTTTGAATTTTTGTTCAAACTTTCGGTTATGTTATTCAATGCCATCATAATTTTGAATAGCACTATATACACACACACGTATGTATATGGCAGTGCATTAACGCTATCATGTAGAAAATGTGAAAGTAGGTGGTTGGTTCCCATACCATTATGTACTGACAACGTTATAGATGAGTGTCAGAATTGTTTGAACATTTTCCTATTTTGGTCAGAATTGTTTCAGCTAAAGAAAATTGGCTAGGAATATATATTAGTATCATATACACCAGGGAAAAAAAAAAGGGATCGAGCATAAGATAAATAAGCCTTATGTATATATGCATATATTTTGTACTTAAAAACTTTTAATTACTACATAATAACTTGAGGAATTACCCTCCCAATTTTTTTTTTTTTTTTTAAAAAAAACGTGTGCCATATGTTTGGAGCATATATTCACTCAATACTTGCAGACGATTCAATTATGGCGTACATAATAACAATGCCTATTTGCACACAAATATTGAGGTCAGAGATAATGTTGTTCATAAAGATAGTTTGGACCCCTAAAAGACTTTTTCTCTATGAAACTTTTTCTTGGACATCTGAAGGTGGAATAAATACTCTACATTGCCTCTCAGTGCAACCATGGCAAAGAGATCTTCCGACATTATAAATTACCAATCCTCGAGACCGAAATTTTATTTCCCAATAATATGTTAAAACTCAGCATATATAAGCCAAGCTTACAAACTTACAAAAGTGACAAAATGTCTGTAAAACTCGTGTTTGGTTTTGACGAAAGCAAAAAATGTTGAAAATTTAAAGTTTTCAAATGCAGAAAATTTAAAGAAATTCAAACAGGGTATAAAAAGTTTGAACCGAAAAGAAAATACAAAAAAAAAAAAAAGGAGACATATATACGCGCTAAAGATATATAAAAGTACTTGTATGAAAAATCAAAAAGTCCTTTCATCTTTTTCTTCTTTTATATATTGCTTTTCCTTTTTCTTGGCTAAAGTGTGTTTAAGGTAGTGTTCCATGCATTTCCATAAGGGAAGAAGATTAGTTTTTCCACAAACGAAGAAGATCAACAAGATTGAGATAGTTAAATCAATAAATCTAAAAATAACCGAGAAAACTTGAGAAAAATCAGAAGAGAGAAAGAAGAGAGAGTACCTCCCTAATCTACCCCCTCCTCTCCATCCATTTCAACTATATTCACACAAAAAAAAAAAAAAAAAAAAAAAGAAAATGTTCCATCTCTAATTATTCACTACAAAATATATCTAGCTATCATCTTCTTTAAGTACAACTAATTAACAATTAATTAATCACAACATTATCACCATCATGAATCAAGTATATCTAGTTTTCATCAAATTCCTAACATCCTTACACTTGCTTCTTCTTCATGGCCTGCTTATTATTATGCATCCAAACCTTGAAAACCTGTCGTTTGACACCAACTTCGGAGCAAAACCGCTGAACCTCCTGGTCGTCATGCTTCTGGATCCTCCATCCGAGCTTCTCCGCCAACTCCATCATCTTCTCCTTCTGCTCCTGATTGAATTTCGTCCGAAACCGCTTCTTCGACTCCCCGGCGTGCTGAACTGCCGCGGCCGCCTTCGACTGGTTGATGTTATGATCGTGATCAAACATGTGCAGATCCTCGCTCGACGACTCAGCCCCGCCAAAGGCCATCATCACCGGTGCCGCAATCGGACGGCGGTGGTGATGCACTGGATATTGAGGATGATCAGAATTGTGATGATTACGATGGTTGTAGTGGTGATGAGGATTGTGATTAGGCAGCACTGTAGGAGGAGGAGGAGGAAGATAATGTTGAGGCAGCACTACTGAATTATTATTGTTACTATTTCTTGACAGCTTGTGATTGGGATTGTACTGGGACTCGCCGTCGATCTCTTTCCGGTGGAAGTTGCGGTGGCATTCGCAAGCCGCGCATTTCAGCGCCTCCTCCGTGCCGTCGTCCCCGCTCGGCATGAACTCTCCGCAGCCGTCGAGCACGTGGCCGCCTTTGCTCGCGGCATGATTCCTCAAACATTCCCGGTATCTCACGGCGTTGACCGGCGCAATTGGTGTGATTGGATCTGGATTTGTATTGGGGTTTGGATCAGGATTGCTAATATTTTCCCTTCTGGGTTTGTTTGGTTGATAGGAAAGGTGGTCTAGGGTTTGGTTTGGAGCTGGATTGAAAGTGGTGTTGCCATGGTTTATTTGGTGGTGATCTCTGGGTGAAGAAGAAAGCTTGGAAGAAGAATCCCTATTGGGTGAGCTATAATCAAGAGTACTATTACTTCTCATCATCCCTATAATTTCTTTTATCTCGCCCTCTCATCAGTACTTCCATTAAATCTTCTCGTCTCTATTATCGCAACTTCTCTTGACCTTGATCTCATCCTGCTATAATACCCTTTTCTTCTTTTTTTTTTTTTTTTTCTCTTCACCAAAATATTATTTTCTCTTCACTAAAAGATTTTTTTCATGATTTCTAGTTCTTTATAAGGTAGCTATAACTAAGTGATTTTTTCTGCAATTTCATTTCTTTCTCAACCCTAATAATTCCTCTCCTCCCCTAGCTAGACAATATCTAATTTCTCTCCTCTAATCAAAGATTTAATCACTGGCTAACGGAGGATTAGTATTCTTTTTCTCTCTTATTTTGATTTTGACATTTTTGGGTGCTCACCCACCAAACGTCCACTGATTTCAACCCAGCTTCCCAAGACGTAATTAAGCGAGTGTTTTAGAGATGGATGGGATTGGATTTGGATCAAAGTAAAGGGAGATTAATTCTGCCCCCCCCCCCCCCCCAAAAAAAAAAAACAAAACAAAAAACAAAAAACAAATAGTATATATTTGGAAATCAAACAGGAGAGCTAGCTAGATCCCTATTCTCCCATAGATGAAAGAAAGTAAGGGCCCTACCAAAGCTCAAAAAAAAAAAAAAAAAAAAAAAAAAAACTTACCTGATAAGTTAAGGAGACAAAGCTGTAATTGCACCAGCAAAGAGAGCAAAACACAAGCGAAGGGGGAAGTTTGTTTCTGCATTTAATTAAGGAGGTGATGAATATCTAAAAGAAAAAAAGAATTCTAATTATAATAATAACTAACATAAAGATGAGGAAGTAGTGAGAAAAACATGTGAGAGAATTTTGTGTTTTTAAAAAAAATGCATATCAAAAAAGAAAGAAAAAGGGTTTTTGCTTTGTGTTTCCTACCACCCATCCAACCCCATAAAATCCATCCATCGAAGGAACAAGTTTTTTGGGTTGGATATTACGCATACACTCATAGTGAGCGATGAGAGGAGAACAGTGGTACTGATCTTTCTAGAACAACCGACAGGCTCATGTTAGTCCTCTCCCACAGCCTGCACTCTGGTCCAGTTACTAATTATTGCCCCTTATTTTTCTCCACTCTATGAAACCCTAATAAAACCCCCGCAAATACATATATATATATATATTATATATATACATATGAATATTTGTGTGAGCCAGCGAAGAAGAGAGAGAGAGAGAGAGAAAGATGTCTGACTTGACATTACTCTGCTTGGTTTGCCTGGAATCTTCCTGCGACCTCAAATTCCCTAGATTAAAACTGTTTAATATAATAGAGAATTATATATATAATGTTAGACGTAAAATTCCCAATTAGAGATTTTAAGGTGGTGTCAAACAAGGGGTTTAGTTCCAGACTAGAGAGAGAGAGAGTTAGTACTAAGAAGTTAAGCACTTGTGGGGGGTGAGCCGTGAGGGAACTAAAGTAGAGAATGCTGGTCCACATCACAGCATTTGTTTTTTTTTTTTTAGTGTGTTTGTGTCAGATTCTCTTTCTCTCTCTCTCTCTCTCTCTCTCTCTCTCTCTCTCTCTCTCTCTCCACACGAGGCTGTTTGTGCGCCTGCAGCAGTTTCGCTGAAAATAACTTTACCACCTCTCTTGGGTTTCTTTCCCGTTGTAAATTCATGGTTCTTCAGCTTCTATTATTGTCAATTCATGTCTCTCTCTATCTATTAACTCTTTTTCCTTCTTCATTACACATTATCCTCCTTGTTGTGGTGCACTATTTCACTTGCTTTGCTTTTTTTTTGTTTGTCTGGTACAGTGTCACGATAATATCTAAAGAGGGACTGTTCTCTCTCTCTCTCTCTCTTTTAATAGTGTATCATTTGACTCTTACCTCCCCCTTACCCCTTTTAGGTCATGCACTGTTTTTCCTTGAGTCCACAACATTTTGATAACGCCATTCTTAGGTATATAATAGGCCCTTTGCTTACCGGCTCTTCCTGAGCAAGTAATTTCCCTTTTTTGATCAGCCAGAATGATAATAATAATAATAATAATAATAATAATAATAATAATAATAATAATAAAGTAATTTTCTTTTTTTTTTTTTGGCTGGAATTATTGATTTTTGACTTATCAAGCTACTGGCTACCTACCCTTTTCGTAATACTGAGCCTTAGCCATATAATCAGGTTTATCTTATAGAATTAATAACCGTTTCATTAAGAACGCGCTAATTAATTGATTATCTGTTGATAAGATATCTATTAATTGAAGTCAATATTTGAAATCAAAGCCCACAAATCTAGTGTCACTATTTGTGAGCATACTATATCTAGCTTAATTCCATTGCTATGACATTATTAATATAAGGACTAATTGGGACGATCATATTCTTCCTTCAACGCTCATAAAGAACGAAAACAAAATATAAGCATTTCCATAAATTTCTATGTTCAATTTAGTTATTGTCTTTCAAACGTTTTAATTTCTTAGTTTGAGTATTATTGAAGCATTTCTAATCTTTGTTTTTTAAATTAATTGTGTGTGCGCTCTATGTGGCCACGTTTGAATGTGCTCCCTTTTTTGCTATCTTACCCCGACACAAGCCGTTGAATGTATAACAAATTGGGAAACATTGGCCTTTCAAAGGTCCCTTTTTGTTTATTTTTATTCCCATAATTGGGAACTAATCGTTGAGGCTCTAAACGAGAGGAATATCTCGTGAACTACTTAATGTTTCTTAATTAAGTTTTTAAGATTATCTTATCAATGGTTGAGGACCTGAGGTAACAATTTCCGATAAATCAATGTCATTAATTTAAGTGGAACGAAAAAGTTTAATTATTAAACTAATAAGACAGCTTCTGTCTTTCTAATTAAATGCATGCACAAGTAATCGCTGCGATTCTTGTGAGACGTGGCAAAAGCCTAACCAAGAGCCTTGCTTTGTTTTCTGAGGTTTTTTCTTTAAAAAATATATATTTTAATAATCTGTGTTCCAATTTTTCGTCGCTGACTCTGACTGCCACCTTGTGTTGTAATAGGCTTTTTGGAAGCTGTCCATGTTCTTGCCGAGACTTACATAGTTTGCTTTGGTTTCCCTTCCCCACCAGAGCTATATATAAACGTTAATATAAGTTTTCCTTTATATATCTTACTCTTTAATTGGTTGCTAAACTGCTTGTAATTGAAAACCGTATTAACTGTTGCCTTTTAAAATTTTCTTCTATAAATATAAAATGTATCCACCATGGTGATAATACAGTTACAACACTCGACACAACACAATTTGTCACAAAATTTACTTGATCTCGTTCATTTCGATGATTCGAGTTTAGAATTCGAGTTTTGTTACAGTAAAAAGCTCTCAGAAACATTCACATCTAACTTTTTTGCTACAGTAAAAAGCACTCACATAAAATCACATCTCAACTCGAATTAAAAACTCGAATCAGCGAATTAAACGGGTCCGCATTTTTTATTTAATATATATAAGAGAGATTTTTTTATACGTTTAACGTAAGTCAAGTTTTTTTAATGTTAGATCTTCTTATTTTTTGGCTCTTTCGTGATTTTATACAAATTTGACAGACATAAAACTTGGTTTACAAGTATATAATTATGAATAAATATTTTTTAACAACATTTTTAGTAAATTTAATTTAAATTACATGAAAAATATAACATTTGTGGCCTAGATGAACAATGTTAAATATAGATAATAAATAGACTAAGTAAATAGATTAACACTCAAAAATTTTTTATTAATTGTAACAGTACAAATTTGAGTGACGTTTTCACTAAATGGGTGTAGATTGACTCGAATTCGACATAAAAATTTAGGTTAGCACAAATACGACTCAAATTGTCACCAAATCCACGGTATCTTATATTGATGCATGATATAAGTTGAACACAATCTATGTTGGTTTATTTTTATTTTTATTTTTTGTGCTCGCTTATGTGGCTTTAGTTGATCTAGGCCTCAAATACGGTCTTTACTCATCGGTAATGCTATATTTGATTGGATATGGATAGAAAAGATGAAGGAAGGAAAAGTAAAATACTTTGGTGGATGAAGTAAAATAGTAGATTGGAGATTTTCTCTTACGTTGTTTTTTGATAGAAGAAAAAGAAAAATGAAAACAAAATGTTAAATTTAGTGCATTTTACAATAATAAACTGATACAAATAAAAATATGACGAATGATTAAGATTAAAATAATTATTTTACACATCACTTGTTTGTCAATTTTTTTCTCCTCTCTTTTCTTTCCAAAGTTGGAAGGATTAAAAATTGATGGGCTCCATAAATTTCTCTTCTATCCTTCCTCATTTCATCTCTAACAACCTAAGATTCTATTTTCCTCTCCAAAATCTTTCCTTAAAATTTTTTTTTTTCTCTTCCTTTTCCACTCTACCAAACACACTATAAGAGCCCTTGAAGTAAGGCCTAATCAAGTAGAGCCTCACATTGCGGTCTTGAGCCTGATATTGAGTGATTGATAGGATTAAATTACGTCTCTCATAACAAGTGTAGCTTTTGGTAGCATTGTTTGCGTTCGTTCTACATTAGTTGATATAAGAGGTGGAGGTTTTACAAGTTATATAGGGTGGGACTATGTGGTTACGGGTCTTGTAGAAGGTCCCGGCAAATAAGGTCGAAACAGAATATAGAATCCGGACAATGTGCTCTCGGACTTAGTCCTGCAAGATTGATAGGATTAAATGCGATTATTTATAAATAATTGCAATTTTTGGATGATTCTCTGTGGCGTCCAACATCTATTAAGTGATCGATATATTGGTGCTTCCATATCTCCATTCAATATTGAGGACCACAAATTGAAATCTACACAAGCATTTTTCTTTTTTGCCTCTGACTACTGCAGGTCAAAAAGATAGATACCCTTTGGATAAAAAAAAAGTGACTATTTTTCAGCGACAGTAATTTGCTTGAGAAACCTGCAATATATTCCAGTTCTATCCACCACCCAAAAATCAGTGGCCATGAATTGTTTGACGCGGATTTCTTTTTTTTTTTTCTTTTTTTTTTTTTTTCGTTTCTCCCTTTTAAACTAAGTTGTGGATCCATGGATATCCTGATAATTAATCTGAGAAACAAACTTTTTGATGCCATAATTACTAGATGTAAGCTCATGCATGAAATTCATGTTTATCGTTGTTAAGTGTCATTAATTTTATTCAGGAAAATTTTAACGCTGAATTCTAATAATAAAATAGCAAATTAAATATGACATATTTGGCTTGAAAATCTTGAGATAATTTCTAGAATCATATAAGACCAACTCCAATGTACTAATGTCAATTGTATATTTGACACTAAAAGTTGTGATATTTACAATTGATATTAGTACTACATTGGAGTTGGTCTTTAAAATATATATATATATATATATATATGTATGTATTGTGTGTGTGTGTATATAGATTAGTGCAACCAATAAAGTCATTTTAAATTTAGATAAATTTAGTGCCTGATAAAACATAGCATCATTCTTTTTCAGACAAATTTTAATAAATTTCTTTTGAGATTTGGTGTTGATCTAATGTTAACTCCCAAATTTTAAAATATTTTGATATGTTTCCTCTAACGTATGAACGCGTAACCAAAATATCATTTGTTGATTTATGGAGGTTTGATTGATGCCTTACTGTGTAGTATGTATGTGAGTTGTTTTCAAGTAGTAAGGGGAGAGTGATTGTACATGTGAGTTACATGACATCACTTTTTCGGTCAAATCCTAAAAACATCTTCAAACTTAAAAAAGTATACTTCAAGTTAAAAGAAAAAAAAATTACCACAAAATCCGAAGTAAAGAAAAAAAAAACAAAAAAACAAAACAAAAAAGAGAAGAAAGAAAGAAAGAAAGAGAGAAAAAATGCTACCTGCTCTAACTAGAAAAGGGGTGTCAAAGCATGAAAAGTTAATTCTTTTTTTAGTCATTAATTTTAGAAAACTATTCACGTTGAGCAATTTTTTATCATCGTCATTGATAATGGTTTTCCAACTTCATTATTAACCGTCGGGAATTATATGATGTATTTCCTTTTAATTCTTTATTGTCAGTAGCAGAGCTAATCTTTTATTTTAATAAAGGTGTATATTAAATTTTTTTAATAAATTATTTTAATGAGGACATATAAAAA